GCTTTAAAAAAAAACAGAATACTAGAAGTTTAATTACAAAATGTTCGAAGTTCGTTTCCAATACTCGTGGACCATTTAAATTTGATTTCTTCCACTTTTCTTTATTGGAATATTTTGAAAGTCATAGAATATTTTTATATTTGTATGTATAATAAAGTAGCAAGTTCAAATTCCATCTATCATTCTAATCCATAAATTTGGGTATAGTAATTTCAATAAAATTTGTATTTGAATTTGAAAATATATATTTTTGAAAAAAAAAAATATCTAAGAAATAAAGGATTAATTATGAATTATTTTTCAAACATATATTAAAACCTTTCCATGTTATGCATGGAAAATAATATGAAATATTAATACTGAAGAAAATATCAATCTTTCACTTGTAATCGTTTTTATTTTACATGAATGAATTACATCGAATACTAAAATACTACTGATAGCATAATAAAATATTTCTATTCCAAACTCGAATTATTTTTCCGGTTAATTTTAACAAATAAACGGAAATAATAATAATAATAATAATAATAATAATAATAATAATAGATTATTACACAATTTCGTTTTATAAAACTACATTCATCCATAAAATATTAACAACGAGTAACATTAAATCTACCAACATCAGGTTACGTATACTAAATTATCGTACAATACGTTACAGTATAACCAATATCCGATTAATCTTCATAAATTAGAAAAATCATTTTGCTTAAAGTTTTGAAAATTGCATTATTTGTTCGTACAAATTTAAATGAAAAAATATTTAACCATGGGTTGAGGTTTACAAGATGGAAAAAAGAAACTTCTGAGCGATAATTCAAGAGCTACAATTTTTTGATGGTTACATAATACCAACAACTATAAATTTTGTTATTATACATAATTTCGACAAAACGCACAAACGCGTGTAGATTATTTCTTCTTGTTAATGCAAATGCGAATGGATAAACATCAGGAAAAGAAAATTAAATTTCCCTCATTTTCTCTTTTTCTTTTCCGTACTTTGATGGAATTAAAATAAAAAAGAGGCAAATTAATAAAATAACTAAAAAAAAACGAGAGAAAAGGAAAGAAATTTAAAAAAAAAAGTTAACACGAGTTGCGGAAATTGAACGAACGAACGGGTACGAAATTACAAAAACAAAATTCCAACGAAACACATTGTTTTATAATTAATAACAAATAAATTACAAATGAAATAATATAATAAATATAAAAAAAATCTACAAACGGATTGGTTTATAGAAATTTGTTAAAATTCACGAGACTTTACACCCCCTACCCTTCGTAGATAAAATAATATATTATAAGAGCAAATAAATATTTTTCAATGAATGAATTTACCCGGTCAATTAGCGACGAAATTTTATTCGAAAGGAAAGAAAGAAAGAAAGAAAGAAAGAAAAAATAAATAAAACACAAAAAATAGGAAAAAAAAATAAAAAGCAGAAAACCAGAGGAAAAAAGGTGGAAGCACTTCTCCCTCCCCCACCTCCCTCAAAAATAGGGTACAAACGGAACGCAGCCTATGGACGGTCCATCCGAAGCTGGATCATAACTGTGAACCCGTGAGCCAATATTATGCATGAATTATTTTCTTTCGTAGTGCTTATGTTTGATTATTATATGTCTGCGTATATGTGTATAATAAAAAATATACGTTTATTCATATATTTCAATAGATTTAAATAATAATAATCGTTTATTCTAAGTTAAATCATTAATTAGATATTTTTCGTTCTTGTTATACTAATCGTAAAACACGTTAAGTATTTCTATATATGCGTGTGTATGTTTATTTATGTGCTGCCTCTTATGCTAGTATTTTATCTTCTAGACAAATGCTCGCAATTTGTACACTTATGCACGTTTGATAGTTTCCATTTTTTCTGCTTGTAAATAAAAAAAAAAGGAATAAGAACATACAACAAATGTGCGTAACCCAAATTTTGTATTCTACCAACTTTTCTTTTTTTTCCTCGAAAGATAATCCTTTAAAGGTACGAGACCACCTCCCTCACCCCAACCCTTCACGATCCCGCCATGGAATGCTTACTTTTTTAATCTCTTTTATATCTATATATCTATATAATATATATTAATATCAATCCCTTTTTACCATAATCAAAGTAATAAGAAAAAAAAAGTTTCTTAAAATTTGTTTACCCAACACACAACACCCGCCATGTTTCACGAACAACTATTTGATTTTATTTGTTTTCTTTTTCTGTCGTTTCTCCGCTTCCTCGGAGTAATCGACAATTACACTTTTTTACTTTAAATAAAGTAAAAAAATACAAATAAAAAAAAATACGAGAAACAAAATCTACCTAAAAGAAAGGTAGAAAGAAAAAAAAATCACTGTACCTTTGACGAACAATCAATACGATGATCGTTATCATTACCAAAAGAAAAGGAAAATAAACAAATATAACTAACAAGCTAAATGAGCTTTTCGCTTATTTGTAAAATATGCCCTTTGGGATATCTGGATTTGTAAACTGGAAACACATATATGATTCATGAGCACATTATTTGTCAAATCGATTAACTCCGCTAAAGTTTATGTACATCGTCATATTATTTATTATTCAACAATCATGGAATTTTTAAATCATATAATGATATTAAAAATATAACTATTTATATTATGAAAAAAATGTCTTTTATTAAGCTCAGAGTTCGTTCCTTGCCTTATAAATTAAGAACATTTATTTTTTAGAGATAACATTTATTTATGATAAATGAAAAAAATATTTTATATAGTAAAGTTATAATCGTATTCTTATGAAAAGCTCATATAAACAAATATATTATTTCAAAAAGCATGGTATTATTTAATGGGGAAAAAGAAACGAGCCAGTATTATTCAACGGCTATCTTTATTCTTCTCGTCTATTATTTTTTCTTTACTTTCTTGTATTTCTCTCTCATCCTGCCTACGAGCAAATTTAAATGTATTATTCAACGAATCCTCATCCACTTCTCTTGCTATCCTTGCCAACTTCATCACAGCCACAGTGTGATTTATTTGTTTCTTTTTTTTCCCCTCTCATCGTTTCACCCTTGTCGCTGCAAACGGAAAATTACGTTTCGCTGATTTGTAACGATTTTTTCCCCCTTTTTTTTTAAAATTAACCGATATATATATAAGCTGACGTCAAACGGGAACTTGTTGTTTTTAAATATCTTTTTTTGTCAGTTTAATTAAAAGAATAAAAATATTTAATTATTTTTATTTGAAAATGTAATTAATGATTTGATTTAATTGAAAATTAATTTGCATTCTTTCGTTTAATATGCAATTCTTCTATCATTTTATCTTCTGTTTTTATTTTATAAAATTTTAAATTAAAAAATAACAAATTTAAAAATTCTATTCTCGAACGAAACTAATTTTGGCGTCAGATTTGATGTATTTTTCTTTTTTTATATATATTTCCCTAAAAAATGATTAAAAATTGTTTGATTATGGATAATAAAATATTATTATTAAATTAATGTTTTCAAGTGTTTGGTAAAAAAGGTACAGTGATTTTCTTTTAAAAAAAAACAACATTCGTTTATATAAAACGTAGTAATAGTTTATATATATATTTATATTAATAAATATATTTATAATCTACTAATTTTAGTATTAACATTTAACATAAGTGCAGTATCAATTATCACAACAATTGAGGATTGATCCTGCACACAAAAAATCCGATTCTATTGGATTATAAAAAAGAAGAAAATAAAAAAAGAAAATAATAATAATAAAAGGAAAAGAAAAGTAAGACGCCAATGACATTTCAACAGCGTCAAGTTAAGTGACCATTCAAGAGAACGTTGACCGAGTTAACGAGGAAAAAAAAAAGGAAAGAAAAAGAAGCAGAGAGATGGAAATGAACGTTGCATCATTTCATTTCATTTTAACGATTCGATCTGAAGAAGATGAAAAAGTAGAAAAATGAAATGGACGATTTTATGGTCGTATTAACTTAAAGGAAGATTTACAAAGAATTAAAAACGATCTTAACTTTTCGTTTAATCCATTAAAATAATTAAACGTAGAAATCTATGAAAAAAAAAGGAAATGTTCGCGTAACATTTTTTTGCTTTAATTTGGCAAAAAAAAAAGAAAAAATTTAATTAAAAGAAAAAATAATTAGATCAATTCGCGCGACAAATTTATAAATCATTAAGGACAATTACAAAGGATCGGTAAACATGTGGTATGTTTGTTAATGGCGTTAACGAGGTCACCGAAATTACTGTTGAATGGTTTTTCGCTACAAAGTAGGCCGATTTATTGATTTAGTGACAAAATGAATGCTAAATCTTTGCTATTAGTAGAGATGCGCAAATTTATAAATTTTCTTTTTTTTTTTTTAAACTTATACGACAATTGTAATGTTAACATCAGTAAATTACAATAACGTTTTATTTATTCGTTCGCTTGATTTATTTCTCTCTTGTATTTAAAAGAAATGAAATATAGTTTAATGTGCTTTCTAATTATCCATAAATTTTTGTCTAGAGTGTTCTCGAGCGTAATTTGATCAAATTTTAATCTATTAATTATAACAACGATTCGCTTTACAAATGTTTCCATTTCGCGTCTGTGTACTTTAGAAATTCAATATTTATTTAAGTAAATTCGATGATTAAATAAACGAAAAACGATCGTATAGCCTATCAAATTTAACTTTAACGGTACACTTGTCGTAAAACTTTCGTTTTAAATCCGTTCGCGTTTGGTGTTTTCATTAAAAATTACAACCGAAATACTAAAACGTTAAATGTAATGGTTAATTTAAAAATAACAATACAAAAACAAAAAAAAAGAACGGTAGTATCTCTCTTTATTATTTCTCTGTCAATTTCTTTGATGTTTTTTTCTTGCTCGAGACAGACTTTACGTGTATTAAATTCAATAAAACAAGTTTGACGTGGACGTATAGTAACTTTGTTTAACTCAATGTTTCTAAAATACGATTATGTGCCTACAGGAATACTCCGTACAATTAACATTTCGGGAACAATGGATTGACGAGAGACTACAATTTAATGACTTCAAAGGTATGAAAAAAAAAGAAGCACAAACTTTATTTTAATGATTTTGTATAAAAAGAATTCGTTTTTATTTCTTTTGTGATATTTTTAAATATACATATATGCAGTACGTAGTGCAGTTACATAGTACATAATAAATGTTGATACGGAAAATAAGTTTTGTGCATTTTTTCACAGGTCGACTGAAATATTTAACGTTAACAGAAGCTAATCGCGTATGGATGCCGGATTTATTCTTTGCGAATGAAAAGGAGGGTCATTTTCATAACATTATTATGCCCAACGTTTATATACGAATCTTTCCAAATGGTTCGGTTCTTTACAGTATACGGTAGGTTCTTTTTAAAATATTAAACTACAAAATTTCTGCTCAATCTCTTACATGAAATAAATTCTATTCTTATATTCGCAACCATAATAAGTTAATTTTTGAAAACGATATAAATAATAAATCATCATTGTTTAACATTTTTACGTTACTTTTTACAGAATATCATTGACACTTTCGTGTCCCATGAATTTGAAATTGTATCCTCTGGACAAACAAATTTGTTCTCTACGCATGGCCAGCTGTAAGTTTCAATTAAAAACTAACAAACGTTTATTTTCGTTTTAATTAATCAAAACATTTGTTTGTACATTGTAAATATTTGTTTAGATGGATGGACGACTACAGACTTGGTCTTCCTTTGGAAAGAAGGTGATCCCGTCCAGGTTGTTAAGAACTTACACCTGCCTAGGTTCACTCTAGAAAAATTTCTAACTGATTATTGCAACAGTAAAACAAATACCGGTTAGTTATTTAAATGTTTGATTATACGAATAGTTATGATTTTATAGTTTTCATTAATAAAGGAATTTTTCATTATTTACTTTTTCAGGAGAGTACAGTTGCCTAAAAGTAGATCTCCTCTTCAAAAGAGAATTCAGCTACTATCTCATCCAAATCTACATCCCCTGCTGTATGCTTGTCATCGTCTCCTGGGTCTCTTTCTGGCTGGATCAAAGTGCTGTACCGGCTCGAGTATCGTTAGGTCAGTAGTATGAATCAATCATTAGTCCTTACGCCAACAAGCTCATCCCAAACCCAACACGCAAATTTTGTATTCCAAAAATATATCAAGGATTTTGTCACGAATCTAGTTCATCAAGTATTTCTAATGATAATTCATTATTTCATATTTTAAAATTTATATAATGTTATAATAATATTATTATCAATTATATTGTTTGAAGGCTCTGTTCCCTTTTACAAACATTTATCACATTTACCTATCTTTCCGCATTAATATACAATTTAAACATATAATAGAAAACTAATATAAATATACTTAATATACCTTAAAATAATTACTCTAACTACTACCACTAACCCAACTATTATAATATGCACTATATACAATGCCAGTATTTTAATATGAATTAAATATCTCTACAAAATTCTATTATATATTTATTTCGTTAAAATAATATCAAATCTAGAATTCAAATCTTCAACCATTACAATGAAATTACACTGAACTCACAATATTTCTTAAAAATTTATTTAAAATTTTTCACGAATATCTTGATATTATATTTGTCATATACAATATTTCAACCTATTTTAAAAGGCTTAAATTAGAAAGAAAAACAAATTACATCACAAAAGATCTTGGGTTATAATTGGGACGAATTGAAAAAAGTGAAAAACGAGAGATAGAAAGAAAAATCGAAAAAGGATTGGCCCTTCAATATCATGTTATTGATTCTCGAAACGAGGAAATAGAGAGAGAGAGAGAGAGAGAGGGAGAGAGAGAGAGAGAATGACGACCTTTAGCATCGTCGTAGATCGAGTAGAGAAACGATAGAGAGGAACAAAGGAAATTTAGATAATTTTGTATGTTTGTTCAGGCGTGACGACACTACTGACGATGGCCACGCAAACATCGGGAATAAATGCCTCACTGCCACCAGTCTCCTATACAAAGGCCATCGACATTTGGACAGGGGTATGCCTGACCTTTGTGTTCGGCGCACTTCTCGAATTTGCTTTGGTGAATTATGCGTCGCGTAGCGACATGCACAGCGACAACATAAACAAAAAATTTGCTAGCGAGATGGAACATTCTTCCTCGGTTGATCCAACATCAGAAATCCTCGACGCGGATAGTTCAGCGAATTTCGCTATGGTCAGTATCCATCATTGATGATTTTCCTTACGAATTAATCATAATCAATAAGAATTGACGCATTTTCGACACAACTATCGATATCAAATAATGATTAGGTTCGATAATATCGAATAAATTATTTGAAACTTTTATTTAACGTGAAAGATTGATCTATTTTTTATCGATTATAATAATAAAATATTTTAATTAGTATTACATTGAAATATTTCTATGAAAAAATGTAAAATCGCGAATGCGTTAATGTAATATAGCAATAAGCCGCAGATATGGACGAATTAATTATACGGACAAAGGTTTGCACTTGATTATACATTATTTAAATATTAAAATAGTTAAAAATGTACCATTTTAATAATTATCAGGAAGAATTGAAATTGATTATCTCTCAGTGCATTTATTTCAATCAAGAATTCGTTCAAGGATTGGAAGGAAAGAAAAAGTATGAATAAAACGTTCCTGGCACGATTGATTCTGGCAGTCGAGCGGGAAGTAACGGATGAGAGATGGCAAATATATGAAATTAAAGAAAGAAATATAAAGCCCGCTCGATGGCCAGAAAAGATAAAGAAAATAAGAAGACAATGAAAATAGGGAAATATAAGCTCGGTCGACTAACGGCTCAATACCGACCGAATTCTTTCAGAAGCCTCTAGTCCAACATCCGGAGGATTCCATGTCGATGGATAAGATGCAGCCGTGTGAACTACATATGCCACCGCGAAAAAAAAACTGCTGCAGGTCGTGGCTGTCCAAGTTCCCGACGAGGTCCAAGCGCATCGACGTCATCTCCCGAATATTCTTCCCCATCGTATTCGCTTTTTTCAACCTAACGTACTGGTCCACGTACCTGTTCCGGGACGAAGCGGGGGGCCAGTAAACTTCGACGAGGAAGCGCTCGGATCAAGGGACGTGGCTCGCGGCCATCCCCATCATTATTCCCACGGAAGAACACATCGTTCACGTCCTAGACATCGACAACAACAACAACAACAACAACAACAACAACAATTACAACAACAACAAAAACAACAGCAGCAGCAGCAGCTGCAACAGCAACGACGGCAACATTTGTTACAATCGTCGCAATCGTCGCAGCCGTCGCAGCAGCAGCAGCAGCAGCACCACCATCACCACCACCACCATCACCATCACCATCACCATCACCAACAAGAACGTCGCCGTCATCATCGTCATAGAATTCAACAACAACAACAACAACAAACGCTACAGGCACCACCACCACCACCACCACCACCTCTACCACCCCAACAAGCACCCACAGGACCGTCGTACTCGCCCGTACAAACGCTCGAAGACGACCGTGGCTACTCGCCGAGAAATTCCAAACATTCCTGTAAAAGCTCGACGAGATCGTCGCAGTCGGCTTCGCCGTCACCGTCGTCGAGAACGGCGACCCCATCACCACCGTCGGCACCCGTTAGGCCGGCCCCACCTAGACGTTTTCATCGTTTTCCACAATTTTCTTCGGCACATACCGGAAGGTGCTGTTGGGGTTTGTTACCCCGCGGGTGGTTCACCTGCAAGGCCAAAGGTAGCGCTAGAATCGACTTTATATCGCGCGCAGCCTTTCCTCTCATGTTCATCCTCTTCAACCTAGCCTATTGGTCCACGTACCTCTTTCGAGGTGAGGATTCCGTGGATTCGAATTAGTGAGATGCGTTCCGACTACGAGGCAGATGAGAATCGATTAAAAAAAAAAATATATAAAAGAAAGAGGATCAAGATCAAGGAAGAATGGGAAGGATGAAAGATAGATAGATAGATAGATAGATAGGTAGACAAAAATAGATATCGAATGAACGAGATTAGTTTCATTGATGGAATGAAAATACAGGTCATCTCAAAGTTTGAGGCATGATAAAGAACAAGAATAAGAAAAAAACAAACTACTCTATCTTGATTGAAAAAGGTGTTCTCTTTGGCCAATTTCGTCGGTCACACCAAAGACCACGCTAGGAAGTCCAAGGGAAAGATTTAATTCTATCGCAAATGGAAACGGCGGACGTAAAAAGAGAAAGAAAAAGAATGGAAACCGGAGGGAGAGAAGGAGGGAGAGGATGAAGATGAAGAAGAATTTTCGGTGACGACGCCGATATGGAAGAAGATGAAGAAGATGAAGAAGATGAAGATGAAGAAGAAGACGTGAAGGAATATCGGTGTGGGACAAGTTGTTCGGACGTGAAAGTGATGGAACTCTTGCGTTGCCTTTCTTCCATCAAAAGACAACGTGAGAGGTATACGGAAAAACACATACACAAACACACAGAACACACACATTGATTAACACGCACACACGTATGCTGGTGTCATCATGCTCTCAAAACGATATAACATATAAGTATCGTGAGTTGAGGGTTCGAAGGACACGCGTCATATTTGGATACACGAATACACGTACACACATACACGTTAATATATATACACAAAAATAATACATTTATATCAACACTTAAATACGCTGCACATTTGTACACTAATAAAAAAAAAAACACAAATAAAATAACACACACACAAATACACAAGTACACATTCGGAAGACCGCGTGCCACAGAGACTGAAGAGAAATCAACGCAGTGGGCCCTGTATAGCCACGGCCTGTTAACAATTTACAATGCATATAAGTTTATAAATACTATAAACCTAACGTATTGAGGCAAGTAATTCGTTATTGCAGTCAGTGAATCCTTTATATATGCGTATATATAAATATATACATAAATATATAAGTATACAATCGTAAGATTTCCAGTCTCGTGATCGTCATTCGAAAGACGGACATCGGATGAAAAAAAGGGGGGTGGAAAATAAAAAAATGATCTTTCTAAAGAAACTAATTATGGGAAAATGATAAACTAAATGGATTTCGTTACAAAATAATATTAAAATCAAATAAGGTATAACGACAAAAAAAAAGGAAAAAAAATAATAAAAATAAGTAAATAAATAAATAAATAAAGACTAAAGATAAGAAAAGAAGAAGAAAATGAAAGAGAAGAAAGAAGTCAGGGGATAAGACTCTCTTTCTCTCTCTTTCTCTCTCTCTCCTCCTCTATCCCTCTCTCCCTCTCTATGCGTTTCTCACTAGATTCTACCCCTATCCTCTTCATATTTTCTTTTTTCGTATTTTATCTTACTGTCGTTTTTACAAAAATGCCCCAAAAAGATTGGTAAGAATTTTTAACAAAAATGGCAAGACTAAGCGCAAAAACAAAACGACGACAGACATCAACGAAAATAATTTATATTTTTTTGTTCTTCCCTCACCCACCCAATTTTTTCTCATTACCTATCTTTTCCTTTCTTTTTTTTCTCATTTGGTCTTTCTCTCTCTCTCTCTCTCTCTCTCTCTCTCTCTCTTTTTCTCTCTTTCTCTTTTTCTCTCTCTCTCTCTCAATTTTTTTATAAATTCCATCAATCAACAACAAAAAAAAGCCACGAGACTGGAAATCTCGCACGATAAAGTTGCGAATATAAATTAAAAAAAAAAAATTAATCATCGATAAAGCGAAAATCGTTCTTCGCTGAGAGGAAAAAAAAGAAAAGAAACGGAAAATGAAAAAAAAAATAATCAATGAGAAAAAAGATACGCGAAAAGTTGTATTTTCTCGAATAGGATAAAAAAAAAATCCAACGATCATGCGTCGATCGTTGGTCGAGCCTAGAAAAATGAAAGAATGAATGGAATCGTACATATGTATATACGTGTTTGAAAAAAAAAATACAAAAAAAAAAAATAAAAAAACTGATTGTGAGTAACAAGGGAAGAGAAAATAAAGAAAAGAAGATAAAAAAAAGAAAAAAAAACAGAAAAAAGAGCAAAATATTTATTCCATATTCCGTAATAAACAGCAAACAAAAAAATCTATGTGTTTAAGTCGAGAGAAAGAGAAAAAGAGTGACAAAGAGAGAGAGAGAGAGAGAGAGAGAGAGAGAGAGAAAGGAAAGAGGGAATGACGAGAGGGGTGTAAGGAAGGTAGGGAGGGGGAAAGGGGTTAGAAAAAATACAAAATTCTCATTAAAAAATAATGTGATACATAAAATTTTAAACGAGAAGAAAAAATAAAGGAGGAAAGAAGAAAGAAAAAAAGAGAGAGAGAGAAAGAGAGAGAGATGGAAAGAGTAAAAAAAATTAGTATTAAAAAAAAAAATGGACGATGAAACTTCGATGAAAGTTGAATAATGTGTTGTAGAATAAAACGTTAGATCTAAGAAGAATTTATGCAATCTACATGGCAATCAGTCAACTGTAATTGGATAAGGTTGGATGGAGAAAAGAGCAACTAAAAGACAAAGAGAGAGAGAGAGAGAGAGAGAGAACGAAAGAGAATGAGAATGAACTTTATTTCCTACGAAGAAAAGAGAAGAAAAGAGAAGAGCACTTTTAGTTCGTACATACATACTCGTTCATTTAGAGAATAACTAAGAAAGCTGGAAGGGCGTTAATTGGTTCGCACAAACACACGTATATGCATAAGGAATACATGTGTATATGTATACATATATATATATACTATATATATAGAATGAATTTTAATTGGTTTTAATGTCGAACCAACGGATCTGACGTCAAGCAAATTATTAAATCTTCCCCGAAAAAAAAAAAGATAAACAGAAATAGAAAAGAAAAGTGGAGGGGAAAAAAGAGGGTAGCATTATCGAAACCGAATGTTAAGATTTTTTTTTAAAAAGATGAATGTCTTGATAATTGTGTTCTTATTTTATTTTTAAGAGTTCTTTTCTTTTTTTTTTTTTTTTTTTGATGAATTTTATCGATAAGTTTAAAACGTTCGATTTGCTATCAGTCTCTTCTTTTATACAACAAATCTGTATGAAAAAGAGAAAGAGAGATAGATAGAGAGAAAGAAGATAGAAAGGGAAGGAAAGAGGAAGGAGGGAGTGACACTCACACATACACACAACTAACAAACGCAAACAAATGGAATGAATTTAAGAAAAGTATAAAAAACCATTTCGTTTAGCCGATCCAATTTGATGGAATTTTTTCTACGTAATTGTTTACGAATTGTTACGTTGTCCTCGGATACGCATAAAGCGTTGTATATATTTAGAAAATAAAGGAGATACAGTGTTAACTGTTTAAAAATAAATAAATCAATAATAAGGAATGTGGAAAAGTAGGAAAGAGAAGAAAAATATTATAGAGACCATTTTTTTGTTGAATCGATGTTAAAGAGATTTTATCAAAACACAAAAAATATGAACAATGTTGAAAAAGAGGAGGGGGGCGCAGCAAAAATCGAAACTCAACGTTATTTTTTTGAGGGTTTACCGTTGAAAATGATTTTTGTCGAGAAGGGAAAAACAAAAGAAGAAAAAAAAATGTTCAATACGAATACGTTCGTTTGTTTAGCTTACAGTCTGAGGTTTACAAAATCGAAAATAACAACAATAACAGCAAAAAAGTAAAACCTGGCACAAAAAATGTATCACAGTGAATTGGCTAACAAATGATCCATACGATCGATCGATCGATCATACGTTTTCCGTGGTAAAAGCTTTTGCAAAATGTTTGGCTTTGAAACAGGATGAAAAAAAGAAAATATCATCCCTTCGATGTGAAAAAAAGATTTCCAATTCTGACTTCCGTTAATGGAAAAAGTACATTTTCGAATTTAACGTCAAATGGGCAACAATTTGGATCGGCCATTAGGAAAAAAGATAACTCCAAGATTTGTTCTTTAATTAATAAAACAAAAACCAGCAACTGTATGCTCAATCACGTTTTTTTCATTTTAATTAATCAAATCATTTTGTTTTATTTTGATTTGTCATTTGAAGTATATATAAATATATACATTAATATATACATATATACAGAGAAAGTAATTTCACGAATGAAATTAATTATAAATACACGTGATTCTTTCCGTCAAATTGTCATTATTGAAAATTGTTACGTATCGTCGATCAATAGTCAACGAAATAAATATATCAGGTTTACAAAATAGTATCTATACGAATATACGTATTTTTATATGTATATTTGCATTAAGTCATCAAAATATAGACGACCAATAAAATGCAACTTTATTACTAACTTTTGATCCACTCAAAATAAGACAATTCGATACTACCAAAGGTACGGACAAATTTTTAGTCTCCGAGTTATGTCTTGACAACGATTGGTCGATGTGATGCGTAACTAACATAAATCATTTTTAAATAAAATCGAAGGACAACAAAATTCGCTTTTAATTTCTTTCACGTGTCTACGGACGTACTTGAAAACAACCGAAATCAAACTAACTAACTAAYTAACAGACACACTTTAAGCGAACAAACCACAAAAAAATGAGAAAAAAAAATTTTTTGAAATAAAGCACACCCCTACACACCATAAGCACACGTATAGATGAAGAAAAAGAAGGAAAGAATGAAAGAAAGAAGAACAATTTTTTTAAATGATTCGTAACGCGTCTGTACATAGATTACAGTTTGAAGAACGTTTCAAAGAGAAAAGGAGAAATAAAAAATAAAAAAGAAGGCAAACGAAAATACGCGTTTCAAATTATAAATAATATTCGAATAATATACGAATTACATTCGTACCATTCGTACATCCTTTTATCAAATCAAATCTCGATTTAATTGTAAATGAATTAACCTAAGTCATGCGCTTTCATCGACATAGGACGGAGAAATCAGTATTAAGAAAAGAAAAAAGAAAAAAAAACGATAAAAAGAAATTTTAAATAGCATTTTGATTAATCGTACGTTGTAAAATTCTTCAAAAGAAAAAGAAAAATGAAATAAAGAGAGAACGGAAGAAGAAGAAGAAAAAAAAGGATAAGAAAAAAGACAAAAATCGTATACAATGTATATAGTACAATACAAGAACGTACGGTATATAAATAAAAAAAATATTATAATAAAAAAAGAAAAAACAAAAAAAAAAATAATACACACAAATATACACAAATACACATACACGTACACACGTACATGCAGTTATTGTAAGCGGTACAGTACTATCAACTGAAGTTAAAGAGAAAGAAAGAGAACCAAGATAAAACAATTAACAAAATATAACACAAAACGATATGAAATCGTGATGTAAAATGGAACTTGTGCAAGAGGTAAAGAAATAAATGGACAAAAAAATACATCTAAAATGAAAGAAATTAAAAAAGATGGAAAGAAAGTTCGCCGTATTCCTGTCTACATAATATTATCGCAATATACATAAAATTAAATAGTAAACCATTCGTTAGTATTTCAAAAATGTGTGAACAATGTTTCCCCCCACAATTTTTAAATAATCGATTTCGATATAGGAAAAAAAAAATAAGTAAAGAAATAAACGTCGACGGAGAACTCTATAGAAGAAAATTCCCTTTTCTTTTTCTTTTTTCAATTTTTTTGTTGGTTTTTTTTTCAATACTCGAGTACTCACATACACACGTACATACATAAACACAAAAAATATCGCATAATCTATTGCATCCCCCCCGAATTTATAGAATGTGTGTACATGCAGGAGTAAAAAAG